CTCCCTCCCCCCCCCGGCTCACAAACACAAACACAAACCCCCTCCCCCGCCACGATGCCCTACGAATTCCTCGGCCTCGGCGGCACAAGCTACGTAACCACAACCGACCACAAAACAGTCCTAAAAGGCCACCAAGTCTGGCGCAACGGCAAACCCTACCTGGTCCGCGAAGCCTGCGAGGACGACCTCGCGCGCGAAGCCGCCATCTACGCACACCTCAGCGACGACCACCCGCAGATCCTCCGGTGCTTCGGCCTCGAAGAGATTTGTCCTGGCGTCCACTCACTGCGGCTGGAGTTTGCCCCGCTGGGTTGCGTGCGGCAGTTTATTGCTGAGTATGCGGGATCTGGATCTGGATCTGGCCGGGTGCTGGCGCTGGGGACGAGGTTGGGGATGGCGGTGGATGTGGAAAGGGGGTGTGGAGTACATATATTGCAGGGGCGTGCAGCATTGTGATTTGAGTTGTCGGAATTTGTTTTTGTTTGGGGGGTTGCGGGTTAAGCTGGGCGACTTTGGGGCGTCGCTGCTTCAGGGCTGTGGGTTCAGGGAGACGTTTTGTGAGGAGAGTCGGTATGAGCTGCTGCTGCGCGGGAGACGCTTTGTGGATAGGCCACCGCCTAAGAGGAGAGCTATTTGCGTTGGGGCCGGCAATTTATGAGATTACGTCGTGGGAACAGCCTTTTCAGGAGCTGGAGGATGCGGAGGTGGAGGCGAGGTATGCAAGGGAGGAGTTTCCTTGTGTGGGTGGCAATGTGGCGGGTCCGGTGATACAGAAGTGCTGGAATGAAGAGTTCGAATGTGCAAAGGAGGTGGTGGATGCGTTGATAGAGTGCATCGAGTCTGTGGCTTCGGAGGAGCTCGAAGGCAACCATTTACATGCAGAGCACTCAGAGGGGACGTGCCATGCATTCACGGAATTATAGAGCAGGGATCCGTGAGAGCCACGAGCAACGGGTGTTTTGTGCAAAGCTGCGTTGCCACTGGAGGCGGTGGGCCGTCTCTCCTTTCCTAGCTACCACCCCAAGCCCGAGCCGGTAGCACTGGGCCAACGCTCGCCATGAGGATTAGGGAAAGAATCAGACCAAGGATGCCAATCAACTCCCGACTCTTCCTAGTTCGCCCGATGACGAGTGCCAGGATCACACTAAGAGAGAAAGGCGCAAACAAAGCAAGCGGTAGAACCCACGGTGCCATAGCCTGGACGAGAGAGGCCAACACGGCCAGTGCAAGGCACCACTTCTCCCTCTTGATCCAGCTCCACGCGCCCTTCAGGAGTTTGTACTCCTTCCCTAGGGGTGGCCGGGTTTGCACGACAACCCTGCCCCCATTCAGCTGTTTCGAGATGCAGCGGTCCAGCTGTCGGTTGGTCAAGACCTTGGGAGCCTCGTCGACGCCGGCAAGTTCGTGATTGAGGGCCTCGGCCAGGTCGAGTACGGCTTGGTACCGGGCGGGCGCTTCGTCCCCTTGCCGCCGCTTCAAGTCGAGATGGCCCCGTAGCCACATCGTGTACACCGCGACATACCAGAGTAACAAGAGTGACATGACGATGAACAGTTGCACGAACGAGAAACCCCATTGGTATGTCTGCCGCCCACAAGTAACCCAAGGTAAGCCAAGTGCGCAGGCCCGACGGACCCAGGGGAGAGTGAAAGGAGGGGTTCTCTCGACTTACGTTATTATCAATGGCTTGGCAGCTGCCTCCCTCCTGAATGCGGGAGAAATTGTATGTCCTATTGCCCGTAGGCGTCATGAAAGCTTGGTTGGCATAGGTGGCGTATGGGGTTTTGTTTGTTCGAGGATCGACCCAGTTGTTTCCGTAGTATGGGTACGAAGGTATATAGAAAGCAGAAATGTTGAGGGCTGGCTTTTCAATGACTCGGTCCGTCCACGTCGTCTTGATCTTGTTTAGGTTACCAGTGGCATCGAGGGCAAGAAACCCGTATGCCTTAGTATCTGGTAATAGGTCGGGTGGTAGTTAGTATGGCATCAGACCAGCTCCAAGCCAGCACTCCATCATTGACGTACATGCGGCGACGGACTCCAAGATACGACACCCCGGCACCCCCGTGTTATCCCAGCAAGGAGAAAACATAAATCTCTTTGACACTCCCAGGTAGACTTTGCTTTTCGTCAACGGATTTAGACCGAATGAGTAGAACCGGTTTGACTGGCTTACCTCCATTACCATCAGTATTGGAGTCTTGGTAGAAGGAGACAAGGTAATTTCCGGTGAGGTTAACCCGCCACCCATCATGTATGACATAGGCCACCGGACTGAAACTCGAGTAAGATATGAGATTATCTTCGTAATCAAGCACAAAGGGCCTAAGAGCCGGCGAATAACCAGTCATAGCACTGGCGAGGGTCGGCCATGCTAAAACGAAGACCATGCTCGCAATAATACACGTCATGGCCAGCTTCGAAGGGAGCGCTCGCCTCGTCGTAAAGTCTCGTGTGACACGATATATGGATCTCAACGAGGCTGCGCTCTCGAGGAAGACGGCGAAGAACGAGCTGTATGTAATAGGGCCCGCATGCATAGCGCTTCTGACATAGGTAGAGAAGGCTTTCCACGAGTAGAAAACCAAGACGGCCTGTCCGCCTTTCCCTACGGCCTGATTCGAGGACGATGATCAGCCACACGACGGACGAAGGCAGAACACAGGACGACGGTTATTTTGGTTGTCTGCTCACCAGATCCCAGATGATGTCAATGACCTTGGCCTCAGTGAAGGTAAAGTGCTGCCCAACCGGTAGCGTGATCTGGAAAAAGCCAGACATCTGCCAGTAGCTGAAGCTGGGGTCTATGCTGAACGAGCCGTCCGGCAGACACAACACATTCATACCAGGATAAGACATGTCATTTAACAAGGAGTACAATGCTCTGAGAATAGCGAAATATAGCAGCCAAGTGAAAGGGGCTAATATGAACAAAAAAGACATAAGCCATAGCGACGCATTGCCCCAGCTCGCTGCTTTCAAGTCAGCTCGAACATCTCGCCACGCCTGCGCCCACCATCCTCTGAACCGTCCAGTCCATGATGGAATGATGTGCGACAGCGATCGTGGGCTAGAGGATTGTAGGACGAGCGGGCTTAGTGAGGTTTTTGACGAAGCCGTCATGGTCTCATAGGCAGGTGCATGTGTCCGACTGAGGTAGACAAGGTGTAGGAACGCAAAGTGGTGGTGGAGATTTCATGAGAATGATGAAATGTTTGAGGAGGCTAACAGGTTGGTGATTGTGGCGGGCAAGGGGGGATCGATGGTTTTAATACCTATAAAGGAAGTAAGGCTTTTGCTGCGCCCTGCATGCACTGCAACATACCTAGGTACCTACTCAGGTAGCACGACCGAGGTGTCAGGCACCCTCTGGCTGGAGGGGGCTAAACTCGAAAGGGAGCAAGAAATCAGCAGAAGGGGAAGAAGGAGAGGAAAGATGTAAAGAGTTCTAAGTAAAATAAATCACATAACAGAAACCGAGTCAAATAAAAGGCAGACTTGAGCTTCCGCATGGCTTTCTTTCCGTTCTTCTGGTCGAAGGATTTGTCACCTGCACTTGGAGGTGGGAGTTTTTTATACATGTACCTGTTATTACTACACAGCAAGTAACTAACGTAATCTATCACGTCTGGGACACACCACCTTGTGGGACACTTTTTCTGCCCCACACCCCACCATGTCGACTTCGGACGCACCTCACAACACAAAAGAGAGTCTATTCGGAATGCATTCTACATAATTCGAGCCCTTATTTACAAGGGCATTTTCTGGCGTTGTGCTCGATTGAGCCACAAACACTGCACTTCGGCTGCGCACGCTTTCGTGCCTTTGGCGCAGTCGTGTCCGATGGCCCCACCTCTCCTTCTTCGACCTCTCGACGAGCTTCCTGGCTTCCTTGACCCTTCTGACGAGCATTCTGGGAGGCCTCGATGTGTGTCATCCCTTCTCCAATCGTCATAGTCCCTCCTGTTTGAATGAAAGCTCGGCGTGCCCGCTTTCTCTTTTGTCGACCATTTTCAGCTCGAAGTCGCGAGTTCTCTTCCTGCAAAAGAGTAGCATTGTGCATCGCCATCTGGCAGCCCTTGATGATTTTCTGAAGCGCCTGATCTGTTGGGCTTATCTCTCTCTGGTGTTTCCTTTGGAGAGAGTCAAGTTCGACGATGTTTCCTGGCGTTTTGAGAGGCAGACTTGGCGGTTGGATAGGGGTAGGAGGGGGACTCAGTGTCCGTATCCTGGTTTGTAGCCGACAAAGAACCTGAGTTGGATCGAAAGGCAAGAGCCCTGCAGCTCTAAAGCCGCTTGCGATGTTCTTTGTATTGAATGTCTTTTTCCGAGCTTCGAGAAACAGTTCGAGGAATCGCGGTTTGTCAATGTGATGAACCCCGAGTGCTATCTTCGCTTTGACAAGGTCGCCGTACGTCCGCTTAAGCACAGCGAAACAGCTAACGTCAAGGGGCTGGAGGTAGTGCGACGAGTGCGAAGGCATACACTCTGTAAGGATCCGATGCTCAGTACAGAATTTTTCGAATGCAGGCGTCGAATGGCTTCCATGACCATCGAGAATGAGAAGCCGATATCGATCAACAGTCCGGTTTCGCGTCTGTGGCTCGAAGACTTCTCGAAGCCACGCAAAGGTAAGCTCATCGGTTGTCCAGCCGTTATCGCTGACTCCAATCCGCCACGTCTTTGGCAGTGCTGAGCTGTCGTACCATGACGAGATGTGGACTTTTCCTTCGAAGATGATCATTGGATCAACACTCCAACCTGTCGCGTTGATGCACTCAATGACAGTTGTCCACTCTCGATTTCCCGGCTGGATAACAACAGGTCGATTCCGTCGGTCAGATCGAGTGACCACTTTAGACGTGCTTGCAACACCCATCTGGAAACCAATTTCGTCAAAGTTGTAGATGTCGCTGTCAAGAACACCGTATTCGTTGATGGTCCTTTGCACTCGTGCAAACCACGCTGAAATCTTCTCTGGATCCTCGCCTAAGGCCCGTTGATAGTCGTACTTTCTAGAATACTTCGTCTCCAGATGGGGATGCCGATGAAGAAGCCGCTGGACCCAGTTCTCACCAACAGTCATTGCCGGGACCGGGGTGGATGTAAGAGACGCGTCGAGTAGAGTGAAGCCTCCACGCTCGCGGAGAAGAAAGGTCAGCCATCTGTCGGATGTAACCGATCGTCGGCGACATCCCACGGGTCGTCCAATGACTCGATCCATTGAATCAAGGCTGCTTCTTCAGTTGGGCGTAGCTTTCGGTTCTTGACTTGAGCTTCTTGACGCGTACCGCCCCCCTTGACGCGTCTGTGGAGAGTGGACTTCGGTACACCAAACGCATCCGCAGCGTTGCGAATGATTTTGATTTGGCCTGAACGTAAGGCCTCGAGTGCTAATTGGATTCTATCTTCGTGCTGTAGAGGCTTTGGCATTTTGCCGGGCACAATGGCGTAGTGGAGTGCGTCCGAAGTCGACGTGGTGGGGTGTGGGGCAGAAAGCTGTCCCACAAGGTGGTGTGTCCCAGAAGGTGATGGATTACGTTAAGCGGGAGATCTGTTAATTAACTAATAGTAAGGTATGTATCTGTCACAGAGCTTCTCAACCGGTGGCCATGCAGAGATATTCCCAGCCCCGCACCTTCTATTCTTCTGCAATACGGATGCCCTTGAGGTAGGTACTTCATCCAGGCCATACGAATCCACAATTGCAGTACAGTACTCAGACCCGGCTGCCTTTTCTACCTCAATTTTGAGCACTAACTAGCTCTTTCGCTTCCCATCGCTCCCCATTTCTCTTTCCAACCAAATCACAACCACGTTCACCACGTTCACACATAAGTCCAGCACACGGCCCATTCCAAGGAGAGGGCGTGAAGATCCACGCGCAGAAAGGCCACTGGGGTGCCGCTTACGCACGGTGTAAGGGGCTCAAACCAGGGACTCTCGCTTTACGAGTCTAGGTAGGTACGTAAGACCGGGAGGTACCAGAAGTCGACCGACATGCTCATCACCTTCACCGCTATACATTTTAACTTGGAAATCCTATTTCGATTTTATCAAGCTGGTTGAGTGTTTTCCCTTCTCCTTCTCCTTCTCTTTCTCCTTCTCCTTTTCTTTTTCTTTTTCTTTTTCTTTTTCTTTCTCTTTCCGAACACCTCAACGACCAAATCTTTTTAACGACCCCGGTGCCATTCTTCAATTCACAACGCCAACGCTTTTGGCTTCAGCGTCAAGTCACATTCACAGACAACCACTACTCCAAAAGGACATTACACACTGCATACGCTTTCAACGACTTCATTCAGAATCCATGCCCACAGCCCCAACCGGCCTGAACAGATAACTACTTCATATGTGTACTAAGCCGCACATCACCATAAACATCCAAACCAGTGGTATAACCAATGCAACTACCCCCCCTCCCCCTTTTCCAAACCCATCCCACCCCCATTCTCAAAGGAAAAAGGACGGGAAACAACAGACTAGAAAAAGAACCGTAAATACAAAAGGAAACTGCATATAAGAAAGAAAAGACAACGATAGAGACACACGAG